ACCTATGTGTTGCCTAATGGTTTATTAAGTATGGTGCTTCAAAAAGGCAAAAAAGTTTTGATATGATTTAAAATCTACATATCTCATGCAAAAAATTGTGGAACTTAAGCTGTGTGTTGGAAATTGATGTTTAATTATTATTTAGAGGGATATTTTTTTATTTGAAATATTTTAGAAAACGCGCACATCTACGAAAAATAATGAGATAATAAAAATTACTACAACAATAAAAATGAGTTGTTTAAATAAAGTGGAAGCTAAGTTTTGTATTACGTAATGAACTTATGATTTCAATAGATAACGAATTCTACGGGTTCAAAGAAGTGAAAGCATTTATGAGAAAAATATGAAAACTTAAAAGATGTGTGGAACCTATTTACTCTTTAATAATTTATTATTTATGGTGCTTCCAAAAGACAAAAATGTTTTGGAGTGATTTGAAATCTATCTCTGTAAATAAATTGTGGAACTTGTTTAATATTTATTGCATAATTTAATATCTCGAACATAAAGTAAAAAAAAAATATCATATAAATAATAAAACTTACAAATTTGTGGTACTTAAGAATAAAAGCAAATTTCTTCACAAATACATATTTTAAACCCTAAAATCTTCAAATAAGATAATTAAAAAGTTTTTCGATAACTTATAATTGCTTTCAAAATTGTATTTTACGGTTAGCCAAAGCGTTTTAACGGTTTAATTTATTCTGGCGCACACAAGCACAAGCGGCGACCTCAATTCAACACCCACATAATTTGGTATTTTCGAGTTGAATCAATTTATTAAGAACATCCTTATCGACGTAATGCCATTTGTGCGTTGGAAAATACTTCAAAAGCGCCAAAAATACGAAGCAGCTCATTAATATGTATTTATAGTTTCAAGTTCCTGCGCCCATAAAAACCACAATTCAAATTTTTTATTCATGTTCTTCCCCAAGCAAAAAGCAACAATTCATGGAAAAACGTGTTTTCTGGCTTAACAGCGGAGAACAATGTATGTGTGTGTGTGTGTGCGATCGAGTATGACTGTGAGTGTGTGTGTTCTCTGTCCTTCACATCGTACACACGTTTGACCAGTGCTCTGCCTATACACATCCCATGCGTAAGCGGCGGCGCCCTTGACCGTTATGCCCACCAGCCAACTCATCCTTTCACATGCGTTCTCGCTCATTATCAACAACAACAACAACGCCACGTCGCTGAACACAAGAGTTAGCGTTGGCGTTGAGTTGAATGCTGTTGATATTCACTCGCATGCTGGTTGTTGTTATTGCTGTTGGTGTGCTTGTTTTTATTATTCCGATTACAATATTATGTAGCATCGTGAATTATGTGTATTGACCACACGATTTGTGGTCACCAAAGCCGATGCGGCCACGTTCGCATGTATCATTTGTTGTCGATGCCGTTATTGCATTGTTGTTGTTGTTGTTGTTGTTGTTATGCTATAACAAATTGAAAGTTGCACATTCAACATTTTCGCAATATTTTAGTTTTATTTACTCGTATTTTATATGTGAAGCATTTTTTCGGCTCACTCCATCCGCCGTTGACGTCTAGTGCTGGAGTGTGTGTGACAAGAGAGTGTAGTGTAATTCTTAAGGGACATAGAACGAATTAAAATTCGTGTTTTATGTATTTCAATAACCTTTGTGTTTTGTGTTGTACGTGTTTTTATTGTTTTTGCTTGTCATCGCTCTTTTCGGGAACCACTTTCGAATTATTCATGGCTAAGCAGTCGCATACACACATACAGGTATATCTAGTGTCCCTGCTTGATATTTATGAGTTTTGAGTAGAGTTTGAGCGATAAGCTATTGTTATTGCTTGCCTACATGCCCTGTAGGAATATCGAACTCATGTGCTAGATTTTATTTTCGAAGATTTATTCAGAAATATTTTTTTCAGAAAAAAGTCTTAAACGACAACATAGACAAGCGTTAAAATAAATTTTGAGTCAAAAACCGTCACATTCGGTAATTTTCATATATATATAAAGAGTTTAAACCAAGAATAATTTTTTCATGTCCAAAAAAATTTTTACTCGAAATTTACTTTAAAACTGAGTGCGCTGCCTATAGATGTTAAAAAAAAAAATTTTTTTCTATCCAAAAATTTTATTTCTGTCCAAAAATTTTTTTTTGTATAATCTACAGATTTTATCCCCAGGCTAAGCAAAAAAATAAATACATTTTTTTCGTTCCACCCTAATATATATATTATATATGCCAGATATACAGAAAGAGTCAAGAATTCGACTTCTCCATGGTAAGTATTTTATAGAATGAAGACTTAAACTATTCCCAACATATTTCCTTTATTTTCTTTCACGGCTCCCATCTGTGTAGTTAAGTAAAGTAAGTTAATATCAGTTGCCATGTGTTACTCTTGACGGGTTTCAAGTGTCAATAGATGTTTTAGAACAACAAGGCTTTTACATATTTATGAGCTGGCGAAGTGATCCATACAAGAGGGGAAATAAATCTAAACGTGCATGAGTATATGCTAGTGTGTGTGCACATAAAAATCCAATGTTGTCAAAGAGGAAAAACAGCGCTTATGTCTGCAAAAAAATAAGAAAATCGAAGAAAATGTCTATCGAAAGGAGTACACTTCGCTATCAGTCAGAATATAGTAGATAAATGCAGTTGTGAACTGGCGTAGTTGAAGAAAGGGGAATTGTTGAAGTAGCCTATAAAAAGAGAGTAAAGTTATTGCCATATATTTCTTAGAAGCCGCATACCTTATTTGTATTTTCTTTATTATATCACTTTATCTGCTTCAAACTGGCTAAATGGATGGTTAAAGTTTGACGAGTTAAAAGTTGAGTTTTTTCACTGCAGTAAAGCGATTTCATAAAATATTGATTTGAGTTTATGTTCAACAGAGTAAGGTTAGGATAGAAAAAGAAACTATTTTCGCCATCTTGAAGTCAATTTTTACATTTACATTATTTCTAGACTTTTACCTTACTAAATACTTGAGTGCAAGGAGCTTATAAGACATCATACGAATCACCCTAAACTGGCTGACTGGCGCCTATAGAGCTCAGGACCAGTCGTTCCAAAAGAAATTGCTAGGGTACAATGGAACTATCGCCATTACTGACCTCGGTGCGATATTAATGCGATCAAAGTGTGAAAAAATATTTCTCTAAAGGTTTCTGTTAAGCATCACAAACTCTGGGTCAAACATTGTGTTAATGTGGGTAATATAAATGCATAAATTCCTCAGTATTTATATTTTTCGCAGCGAAAAAAATATGAGCACATACGCGTACTTGTTACTCGGAAGAGCTATAGCTAAAAACTTTCATTTTGTTGACACATTTTATTAAAAAAAATATGCATGGTGTTGCCACCCTCTTTTAACAAACAATTTGAAAAAATAAAAATTATTGACAACTTTTTAATTCTAGTGTTGTTACAAAATGTTACTTAGGTACAAATCTCCTAATAGTTTTGATATACAAACTAATTACAAATATGAACATGGTTGCCATACTCATTAAAATTGTTTAACATATGTATTTTATTAAAACGTAAACGTCTTAAAAAGTGAACTGAGAAGCCATAAAATAAGTTGTATGATGTAAACTTGTAATTTTTTTGACGTTGCCACCTTCTTCAAAATTAAAAATAAATGATTATTTTAAAGTTTATTTATTAAAATGTGAGAAAAAATACGGCTAAATTCAAAGGCTTGCTAGAGTATTTGTGCGCAAGTTGTTGCCACACTAAATACCAATAAACACATATGTAAGAAAAATATATTATGGACATGAGTAGCTTGTTTTTAAGAATTGAGCACTGCAAAAAACATATTTTCATTGAAAAATTGAAAACAATGGACGATAAAAAATAAAGCTATTTTCAAAGATTCCAGATTACCATATTTACAAAATGTACAAATATAAATATTTACAAAGTTTTTTTTTTTTTTTTTTTTTTTTTTTATAAAAACATGAAAAAACGTGACATTCCGTTACAACGAATACAACGGATTCCTTACAAGAACTTGATTTTGTTCGCTCAGTTTGTATGACAGCTATATGCTGTAGTGATTTGGTTTGACTAAATTCTTCAGAGATCGCACCATTGTCGTACGCAATAAGTCTTGTGTAATTTTGTGAATATATTATATTTCTTCAAATGAAAAAGTTTTCCATAAAAACACTTTTTTGTATCGTTCAGTTTGTATAACAGCTATATGCTATAGTTATCCGATGTCAGGGGTTCCGACAAATGCGCAGCTTCTGGGCGATAAAAGGACGCGTGCAATATTTAAAATTGATATCTCAAAAACTGAAAGACTAGTTCGTGTGCATATAAGCCCTATTCAGGGTATAATAATATCTGAAAAATTACCAAAAACTATACTCCAAAAATAAAGCTGTCTTCAAAGATACATATTTACATATGTGTGAAATTATTATATAGCAATCGAGTTACCAGCCTTATTGAATATTAAAATATTATTTCACATAAAATAAGGTAAAATAAAGTAAATATGTTAAAAGTATATTAACCAAAAAAGCACCGACTTATATGGATATTTCCAAAGTATGTATTTCACTTTTTTGAATTCACTGCCAATGCGCTTAACTTCGTCAAGGCTAAATCACAATTTACTCCAACTTTCTAACGCAGCTTTACACCAGCAGACTCACACAGGCATACATACTTACGCAGTAACGGTTACGCAGTGATTTCTGCTTTTATTGCACTTTTATGTGTCAATCCTGCCATTGAACTGCGCACCCACACACACACACACAGCCATACTTTACTTAATAGTATTTACTTTATTTCGCATTTTTGCGCCAACAACTATTTTTACAACAAACTTGCAGTGTACTGTGCATATTTTCCTTCTCACGCTACACCACTACACAGTAGCTGTACGAGCGCACATACATATGTTTGCATGTGTATAGCGTTGGAAACATATTTATTTCGTATGCTGAATATAGAATGACTTAAACATATACTTACATGCAACCCTTAGGAACAGTCATATTCAGGCCATCCAACACGACATTCGGATTTTTGCTATTTCCATACATTTTATGCGCCCTCCGCACACATACCGCCTGCTGTCGCCGCGCGGCCAATGTTGACGGTTGTGTCTTGAAGAGACGACGTCGGGCAGCTAAATCCGTTTCGGTGCTTGTCACCTCGACAATGGTGTTATTGGGTGGCAGACCCTCCGCTTCAGCATCCATCTTGCTACTGCTGTGTGTTGTTGCTGTTGCTGCTGCTGCTGCCGTTGTTGTTATAGTGTGCACTGTGCTGTTGTTTTTTTATTCGTAATTCGGATTTTTCCACACTATAATTGTGTTTCGTTGTTGTTGTTATGATTTTTTTTGGTATTGTTTTTGGTTGTTGTTGCTGTAGCAATAGCGCGTTGTGCTCGTTTTCTTCTGCGTCACAACGTCTCTGGCGCTTTAAGTGCTGCGTGTTTCGTACGCTGTGCGGTGCGCCGTGTCGTATACGTAACACTTGCTTCCTTTAGATACGCTGCTATGTTTCTATATGCGTTCGATTTGCACACGATGCTGTGTATCGCTTACACTTGTTATTTTTACTGCTGCGCGTACAATGGTTGTTATGTTTATTGCTGTCAACAGCCAGCAGCCAGCAGCCGGCGCTGCGTTCAATGCTCCTCAAAGCCTGCTGCTAGTCGACCTTCGTTTGTGCTGCACGTTGGCGCACGCGTTCGTCTGGAATTCTAGTAATGTTTTGTAGTTGTAGTTGTTGTTTTTTCACGTTTTTTCTTTGCTGCAAATGTTCGTCTGTGTATGCGCTTAATTCACTTGCGTTGCATGTCCTGTTACAGCTACACTCTTACTCACGACCAGGCAATTCTGTCCTGTCACACACACTTTTTTCTCTCTGCAGTTTTTCGGCGCGTGTATCACTTGTGTGTTGTGTGCGTCGCTTCGTAGTTATCGTACTTTTACCGCTTCGTTATTGCCGTCGCCTGTGTGCGCTGTTGCTAGTTTACTCTGCTACGCCAGTGTTTATGTTACACTTACAACAACAACGACAACAAGGGTAACAATGTGTGTAGAAATTGTTTTTCTGCTTAACTCTACACTCCCACTGTGTATAGATCGCAATAATTCTTGCGGGTTTTGTGGTTGTTGCTGTTTTTCGTTTCTGTTGTTAGCTCGCTATGTCCTTACGCTGCTCTGCCACACAATGTTGCACATTTAGCTGCGTTGCGCACGCTTTGCCTTCTTGCTGCCACAGCACTTCGCAGTCTCTCTGCTGCTCTCTGCAACTCTTTCGTATGCTGCTTTCGAATAGTATTCGTTATTTTTGTTGTTGTTGCTGTTACTTTGTACCACCCACCGTGCATCTATTGTCTCATCAAGTGTTACAATTGATGTTAAGCAGACCAATTCAGTACACCGTCGTTGCCGCTTGCTGATAGTTGTCGCGTACGTTGGCCGTATTGTTGTATTGCTCTTGTAATGGGGCAAGGGTAGTAGTGACTAGTAGAGTGTAGTAGTTGTGGCGAAATAGCAGCAATAACTGTAAAAATATACTGTGAGTGGAAAAACTGTTATTTCGTTGCTTTTGCTTGCCGCTTGGGGCGCTTGCGACTTGACTCTTGTCGCTACTGATTTATACAACGATTGTCAAATGTATATATGCGCATATATAAATTGATATGTATATATATATTTATATTTCTTGTATATATGTATGCTTGTATATGTCTTTATTCAACGGCACTTATTTATGTGCATATGTGTCTGTCTGCTCGCCTTGGCTTGCCTCCTTTATACGCCCTCTCGGCTATTCATTCAATTTTAGCTGAATTCTATTCACCCCGCGGCTGTTGCCCGCTATTTTTGTTGTAGTCGCTCCTAGCGCTTAGCTACTATCTTTATATGCTTCCTAACTGGATGCACGGCTCTTCGTTGGCAATGTTTGTCTGCAATGAAATCATACAAAGGGAATAACGGTAAATAGGGGAAAATATCGAAATTGCTGTAGATGCAGCACATACTCGTATATGGATGAGTGTTTATAGAATGTTTATGTGTACGAGAATATGTGCGTGCAGCAGGATAATTATGATGTGTAAGGATATGTTATATTATTCATAAAAATTAAGCTATTATTGCAAGTAGTGGCGACGCGTGTTGATAACGGCTCCATTGTCGCGCACATGGGCCAAGCTTGTACCCTCATCCTCGCCACGCTGTATGCTAAGTATTTTCATTGGTTGTTACGCGCATTGTAAATGTACCAAGATTAGAAGTCGCAGTAAGCATTCGCATGAGAGTTGAATGATTTTTGCTCATAATTTTAGTTTAGAATTAGGATAAAGAAATACACAGAAAATGGAGATAATATATAGAAATATGTGTGTGTGCCTGAATATAAGCGTGTATTTGGCTAAGCAATCGCCAATCAAATAATATGGCGCATAGTTCTTACCACAAAACGCACACACAAACACATGTATATATTTCTTTTCTATGTATCATATATTATATTTGCTTTTATTTACTAAAACAACAATAAAATGTCACAAATGCCAGCCGCTGTCACTCGTCAGCAAAGAATGATGTTTTCCAAAAAAAAAAGTATATAGATGTACTATATCGCTGCGCTGCTGTATTGCTGTGAGATTTGTAGATATGCACATAAATAAGAGTACAGACGCGGCGCAGATTTTGCGCGTACACGCGCACGCATACACTAACAAAGGCACTCCGAAATTCTTGCTGACAATGTGACATTTATTTTGTTAACGCATTTTGGGGGAAAAAACGGAAATAGTGATTGCGGTAAATATTTATTATGTGCATATGTAACTATTCAATAAATGTATATTTGTAAGTAGCGATGTGTGTAAAGATATGCGCGCTTATAACCGTTATTTTATATATATATATATATATGCTCAAACCTAGCTATGGTATATACCGCATATTTTCACCATCTCACACACATACATACATACGCACATGCATTTATATGGCATTTCTATAACTGTTTTACTCCATGGAAATCGCATGCCATCAGACTCAAATCGTTTACTGCTTCTTTGCCAGCATGAAAATATAAAATTGTGCTACTCGAGAGCATAGCAAAATATTGAATGTCATTTTCTTTAGATTCGTTTTTCATCATTTACTGCTGCATATTACATACACACAACGGAAATATTATTTTATTATCATTGTAATAGTTGAGAAAAAATTACTACTGTTATTTCTACATTTTACTTTTCATATTTTTATTTTTGGTCTGTTTACATATCGAATTGTGCTGCTTCCTTGCTATAAGAAGTTAGCGGCGCGTTTAAGCGGAAATGATTCGTAAACTTAGCCCATTCAGCCATAGCTTATTCATTCGATCATTCAAGCACTCACATCAATGATTATGAATTGCAGTTTGTAACTTTCGATCGCGTATGAAGTACAACCTTTTATTGCTTAAATCATTTTGCATATTTTATGTTTTTTAAGTTTTTTTTCTTTATCACGCATTCAGTGTGAAAAAGTTTACGCAAACTGGCTCTAAAATTTATGTAAATAGTTGTAAGTGTCAACTTTGTTGGTTTCTATAATAGTTTCATATGACTTTCAATGATTTTGATAAATAAATGTCGCATGCTTAAAGTTAAAAGTGCCTTCGATTAAAATTGATTGCCAAAATTATATTTTGTGTGCAGTTTGTGCTTTTTTTTTGTTTGTGGGATATTTAAGTAAAATTACTAATAATAATGATAAATTGCATTTTCTTTGAAATGGAAAGCGCCATTAATACATACATATGTATTTAATACAATAGGTTGTATGGTATACAGCGCCCTCTTATACTACTTGTATTGCATACCAAGAATCGACACACTATACTTTTAGGAATTATAAATGTAAAGTATTATCATTTTATTTAATATAACGGTACGAATTTCCTTCTCAATATTCTTTTACTACACATTTCCTTACACAACTGTGATGAATACAGCAACATTGCGTATACGTATCATTCAAGGAAGCAAGGCGCCGGGGCGTATACGTAATATTTTATTTTCACTTGCAGCAGCAAGTATCAAATATAAATAACATTTTGATAATAAATATTCAATGAAATTTTTGTTTTGAAAAATAAAGCCAAATTTATTAAATATACTTGTAGCAATTTAAAGGTTTCTTTCATGCTTAAAACAACAAGAATGTACATGCATTTATTGTAATACTAACTACATATATGGTTGGATATGTGTTGCAAATATTATTTAAAATCAAAATGGTTTCAATTTAAAATAAAAACATGTAAAATGAGCCGAATGCTCAGAAAAGAGCAGGTGAACGTTAAAAAAATAAAAGAAAAATGATATAACAATTTTTTTCATAAATTAATATAATATATTAAAAGGAAAGTTGCGTTCGTACATTTAAAATCATAAATCAGCAACTTAACAAGCGCTGCCACGTGTTTTAATTGTTTATTCAAAAACATTGTTAAGATGACTGAAGAATTATAGCAAAAGTAAATTAAAGTGAAACGAGCTCAGTTATTATACTTTACAGAAAGTTGCCACCTGTTTTTAATTTTAAATAAGTTAAAATTGATAAGAAAAACATATTCGTATAATATGAATATCAAACTAATGCGGTTTTAAAAAACTTGTAAAGGAAATAATTTTCGGAAGGATTGTCACCCATTTAAATTTTTTAATTCAAAGGAATTGGTAAGACAAACAAATTGTAGCAATAACGGCTTCAAATTGAAGAGGCTTTTTCGGGTTTGTAATTAAAAATACGTTGGAGAGGTGTTACCACCTGATAAAAAATTTTAATTACAAAAAAAATTATACGGTTAAGAAGGTAACAAGTATATCAAGATAAAGTGGTAATAGAAGTGTATTAATGTAATTATAGAAGGCGTTCTGGTGAAAATTTTTAGATAAATGTTACCAGCTTTTTGAAATATTGAATTAAAAAACATTTGTAAAGGTTGCCACCTATTTACAATATGCTACTCAATCTGATTAATTAAATAAATTAAATTCAGCAATATTGGTATCAAATTTGAATTATTTTCTGTTCATAGAAATATTTTCAGTTGTAACAACAACTTATTAATTTGAGCTAAGTTAACACAAAGCTATCATATCATATCTTAAATAAAATAAAAAAATTCAAAAAAATTACTAATTCCTTGGTAGTATTGTTAATATTCCGAAAAAGCTACCTTTATCTAATACCATTATATATACAAATATTTTATTTTAGCTGTCTTCGATTCGTCAAGCGTTACGCCCCAGCCAATCGTATAAACTATGCCAGATGCTCAAGCAAACGAGCAGCACTTATGGTGCAACTCTGCGCTAAAATGTCTTCTGACGCATGCGCAATAGTGTTGCGGTTTTTATTTGGTGGAGCAATTCTTTTTTTGGCGTTAAAATACGTTGCTGTAACCCTGTTGTTGTTGCTTATACATGTAATTTTTTGAGAGTAGATCAGAAATGAGCAGAGAAATGGTGAATCGAACACAGCCTTTTTGGTAGCTTGAATATATACGTCAAGTATCATCGCTAGTATCGACTCATATCGGTGCTTTTGTTGCTGCGTTTATTATTATTTGCCAAGTTGAGTTTTTTTTTTACAAACGGCAACTTAAGTTTTAGTTCTTGTACATCATTTTACTTTTTCTATGTTTTTTACATGCGATTTTTTAACTTTTGCATTAAATTGTTCATCTTCCAAGCAAGTAAACCTAAAACAAGAATATTTTAGTAAAAAATAAGCGTTCCACCAAAACGTCTGATTAATTTTTTCCATTAAAACTTTTCTTTAAAAGTTATACGCAGTTAAAGTTATGCATCAAATGTACTGAGTATGCATACAAGTGCCGTATAAATTATGTGTTGCTCATACGACATGGTGTACTGTATGAATCCTTATTACGCTTCTATGAAGGCTTCTTACACTTGGTGTTTAACTTTAGCTGCGTATGACTTTTAACGGAGTGGTTTTATATAAAATAGTTTTAAAATCTTTTATGCAGCGCGTTTAATTTTGTATTAGAATAATTTCTTTTTAAAGTTGTAGGTTTACTTGTTTATTGAAAAATATTAAAAAATTCAATGTTATATAAATAAGAAAAGCGTTAAGATTTAGACACAGTTTAAATAATGAGCTTGTTTATGTTGAACAATCTTTTTAGGGCAAAAACTGAAACTTCAGGTGGTGTTTGCAATAAAATTAAACTAAAAAGTAACGGACGCCCTAATGTATACTTATAAATATTTACACACCCACATATACATAAATATTACTGTATTATTTATTTAAAATGTCAACTGCTTTGACTGTCGGTGTCACACACATATCCTTCCCAGCCCTCTACACTGCGCTGGAATTTGTCATGCTAATAATGCACATTGTTAGTAAGGTAATAATATAGGATAACAACACTTAACCAATTCTGTGTCATTGTTATTCTAATGCTGGTGTAAATTTTCAACGAGAACATGTGTCATCCGTAACAACAAACAATAATAACCACTACAATAACAACGGTAATACCGAGAGGCATTAAGTTGACAGCCACTCTCTTGCTCGGCGCAATTTTTTTTTTTTTATATTTTACTTTTTTACTTTTATTTTCACTTGTTTTGTTGTTTTGTGTGTCAAACTGCTAGACTGCTGGCTGCAGCCCATTGTTATTGTTGTTATTTTAGATTGTAGCGAAAAACATATTTAGAATATTTATGGACCAGGCGCGTTATAGGTGTATTACAGCTGTCGAGCGAGTCGTGTGTTAAAGATTTATGACAATAAAGCGCAAGCAAACGGCAAAACGACAAAATTGGCTTCATATGTTACATAGTTGGACATTAGGGTGATACCTAAGTAAGTTAGTTGTAAAATGTGTCTAGTTTTACATTCTTAAACGTTACTATAGCGATTA